TCGGACAGGCCGCGAACCCCGGCAGCGGCATACAGCAAACGCTCGCGAGCGGGACCGAACCAACAGCGTGAACACTGCCTTCACGGCACTGCGCACGCTCATCCCAACGGAGCCGGCTGACCGCAAGCTCTCCAAGATTGAGACGCTGCGCCTGGCCTCTAGCTACATTTCGCACCTGGGCAACGTGCTGCTGGTGGGGGAGGCTTGCGGCGACGGGCAACCATGCCACGCGGGACCCGCCTTCTTCCACGCAGCGCGTGCGGGCAGCCCCCAGCCACCCCCATCACGCGATGGCGAGAACGCTCAACCCAAGCAGATCTGCACCTTCTGCCTCAGCAACCAGAGAAAGCTGGTGAGCGTGGGCTACGAGTGCCCAAAGAGGGCCAGGTGCTGGGCGGTTCTCCCCATCAGGCCTCGGTAGGGACACCTGCCACCCAAGCTGGGCCCCAGCAAAGAGGGACACGTAGAAGCTGTCCATGGGGAGGGCAGTGTGGGGCCTTCTCATAGAGCCTCTCCTAGGACACTGGCTCCTGCTGCATTGCGTCACTAGGACCTGTAAATATGGGCCCAGGATACAGGGATGGCCTGAAAGGGCAGTGCAGGCTCTGGGGACTGGAGGTACCACCCTAGCAGAGGCTGGAGGACCCCACCATTTCTACTTCAGCTGTTCTGCTCAACAAGTTGAGAAACCAGTGAGTTGAGTTCAGGATGTACAAGTTGGCCATATAGGTTGCTGGGTGTAGGAGTGAAGCAGAAAGGGCCCTTGGGATCCACTGCCACCACCCCATGTCTTTTTGGACACCTGCTGCCCCTCCCCTGGACTGCCCAGGCACCACAGTAGGTGAAGCTGCAGGCTGGCTGTGATTTACAGCTTGGACTGGGCTTGGTGGCACCGGAAAAGAAGGGTGAACAGGGAGAAAATACAACGGCTTTTCCCAATCCCCATTTCCTCTCCAGACAGCACTCGGGAGCTCCTGGGGCCTGAACATCTGGGAAATTTAATTTTACAGTTTTGGCTGTGCAGCAGTTTACTCCCCTCCCCAAAATGCACGGAGTAGCCTGGAGCCTAACAGGGGGGTGCCTCAGTGCCAGCCACCTGGGACAGCACCCAACGTAAGCCAGAGACCCCAGAGTTGGCCCTGAGTACCACCAGGTCACCGCCCAGACCCTGACAACCCTCCTTCCTTCTGCAGAGCAAAGACCGCGACAGAAAGACGGCGATTCGAAGTTAGGAGGAGGGCCCAAGCAGCCAAGAGGCGGATGCCACTAGGGAAGGTGGATACCACTGGGACCCATGCAGCACCCCACCTCGAACATGACCTGTGTACAGGCCCTCCAAGAGCATGCCCACTGGGCCAGATCCGCCCCTGGCTGTGAGCAGGGCCAACGGACAGACAGATGAACAGATGGGCAGAGGCTTGACTCTGAATACCTGAGTACTCGCCTAAACCCACCAGAACTTTCCATGCTAGCTCCCTACCTGGGCTAAGAGTTGGCATTTTGTGTCTTTCATATGATAATATAAAGTTTGGAAGCTTTGGATAATTAAAAATGGAACAGTATCTTCCAAATAGGGGGAGACTGTCCTCTCCGAAAGTTCTGAACTTACCACACAACCCCCAGCCAGGCCTGCAGTCCCACCCCAGGGTATGGGGTGCTTGGGACAACTAGGTCTCTGAGAAGGACCCCTTTCTGGGGCCAGAGCAAGGCCAAAGGAGCAACAGCTGGCCTTGCAACCATCAAGAGTCTTCTGTTGGGAAACTGGGGTGAGGACTATAGGGACAGGTGAGGGGGGGGATGGGGAGGCACTGCAGGGCAAGAAAAGAGGGGGCAAGCCCACCACCAAGGTAGAAGTCTACGGGCAGCAGAGCAGTCTCAGTCCCTGTAGGCCTCAGGCCCACTGTGGTCAGGTGATGCCACAGAGTGGGCCCACAGGCCTAAGTGGGTGCTAGCCACCAAGTGCCCCCACTGGTGCCCAACTGGGCCCAAAAGAGCTGAGGTCCTTGGGTTGCCAGGCCCTCTATGAGCTGTACTCAGAAGGAGGACCCATCTTGCCTTGACCCAGCTGCACAATGAAAGAAAGTTCCTGGCAGTCTACTACTGTGTCCTCCCCCACAGACTCCATGGCCCCAGGGAGGTGGATTTAGGCCCCCACCAGGCGCCATGCACAGCTGGCCGACCATTAAAATCTTGCAGGTGACAATTAGTTTAATGGCAGAGCTCTGTGGGCACAGCAGAGAAGAAAGGCCAGGCAGCTCCATGCAGAACCCCCCTACACACAGGGAGGGGGGCTGAGGGCGCCAGGTGTTGGTGGCTGAGTGGCCCCAGGCCTCTCCTTGGACCCCTGGCTCTCCTTGCCCTCAGAACAGGCAGTACTGCATCCTGGCCTGGGGGAGACCAGGTGCTGAGGTCCCCCACGGGCACCCTCACAGGGCAGGGCCAGAGCTGCCCCTCCTCTGCACGAATGGGCCCCAGGGAACTGTAGGGCAGGAAGCGGCAGTGTAATTTTGGAGGAAATTCTCAAAGCCAGGGCCATGGGGGGGGGGGG